GAGCCCTGGACTAAGATGACTGTATTAAGGCCGTAATCAGATTGTTGCTAGAGTCAGATGCTGAGACTGGTGTTAGAAATGGGTCCTGCTCTGATGCATTACTGCTTTGAGGAAGGGTGTTGGGCCTTTGGCAGAGAGTGTTTGCCTGCTGTTTGAGAGAATGATTGCCTTTTTAGAACTGGCTCCCTTTTGCCTGGTCTTGCCATAGGTACAAGTGAGGGCATTCCCGTTGGGTATTTATGTGGAAGAGTGCAGCAAATACGTTACGTGCAGCCAAAAGGAGTACGTGTAAACCCACGTGAAGACTGTCCTAAGGAATGGACAAAGGGCAGGAGGAAGCACCCGAGTACCTTACAAAGGCTCTTGAGTGGGAGTGGCATTACCTTGTGCGACCAGCAGTGCGATGTAATACCTAGTCATCATATCAGATTGCACTGAGTGATTAAATTTTAGCACCAAGTTTGTGAAGTGAATATATTCCAAACATAGCCTTGTTTTTCACAAAGCAAGTCAAAGATACAGAGAAACCCTGTCTTACCTGTCCATGGTGCTGGACTGTATAAAAAAAAATGGAGGCTTTGCTCATCATGGTAGACAAACCCCCAAAGGGCTCCTCAGGGAGTGTGTTCCATAGCTATGAATCACATCCCTGGACCTGTATAGCACCCTGTTGCTAACAAGGCCTTGCACCAAGTGCCCAGGTCAGCATCCCATGCAGGATCCAGTGCCAAAGCAACATTACAGGCTGTCCCCACAGAGTGGAGTCTAGGTACAGTTCCCAAGGCGTAACGGACGTTGCACCAATCTGGATACACTACTACTGTGCAGGCATTAAAAGACAGATGATTGATTAAAGAATTCTCAGAAAAAATAAAATCTAGTGAAGATAATTTTTCCAGGAAAGATAAGAGGACCAACACCTTTAGACACTAACAAAAACTGGGGACTCACAGAGTGGGGTAGGTTTCTAGGGGAGGCACGCTCCTCAAGAGCTTGCCAGTGCCCAATAAGCTGAAGCTATGAGTCTAAAAACCCATGAATGAGTTGCCTGTGTCCTCTACAATTAAGATAATACCGCTTAGAGATCTTCAGAACCCATTATTTAAACACCTTTCTTGGTTAGTGACACAAAATCAAGCAAAAGGGTCAACAGGATAGTAAGGCAGCTAGCATCTGCAAAATTAAAAGTCAGCAATGGCAGCCTAACTTCTCTTAGGAAAGGGATTTCTAGATTAGTCACAAGAAGGAACAAACTATTTCAGGATAATGTTCCTCACAGTAAAATTGCAAAGACTTTGAACATATCATCTACAGTACATAATAGCAAGATTCTGAGACTCTGGAGAAATCTGTGTACAAGAAGGCCAAAATGCAATACTGGATGCCCATGATCTTCTGGCACTCGGGTGGCAGTGCATTAAAAAAAGGAATGATTCTGTGATGGACATCACTGCATGGGATAAGGAATACTTTAAAAAATCACTGCCTGTGAAATTGGTAGCTGTGCCATCCAAAAATGCAAGGTAATGCTCTAGAATGCCAATAAGCCATATCTGAACATCATCCAGAAATGCTGTCGTCTTCTCTGGCCCATAGCTCATTTAAAATGGTCTGTGCAAAGTGGAACCTGTTCTGTTAGACTAATTGAAATTTTACATTCTTTTTGGCAACCATGGGCACCACATCCTCTGGACTAAAGAGAGGGAGCTTCCAGCTTGTAATCAGCTCTCAGTTCAAAATCCTACATCTCTGATGGTATGGGGGTATATTAGTTCATATGAAAGGGGCAGCTTGCACATCCAGAAAGGCACCATCAATGCTGAAAGATATTTCCATGTTTTAGAGCAGGAAAATTCTCAGTGTCTTTTTCAGAGAAGGCCTTGCACTTTTCAGGACAATGCCAACCTGCATACTGCAATCTTCACAACACTATAGCTTCATAGTAGAAGAGTCCAGGTGCTAAACTGGCCTGCCTGCGCTCCAGACCTATTACCAATAAGACAAAGATGCAGGACTGTTGAGCAGTTAGAATCATATCAGGCAAGAATGTGACAACATTCCTCTCCCAAAAATCCAGCAACTGGTCTCCTCCACTCCTACACATTTACAGAGTATTGTTAAAAGAGGGGATACTAGACCATAGTAAACATGGCCCTATCCCAACTTTTTTGAGATGTGTTGTCACAAACTTCAAACTACCTTATTGTTTTCTTAAAATGGTATATTTTCTCAGTTTAAACATTCTCTGTTGTGAATAAAATATGGGTTTACTAGTTTTGCAGATTGTTTTTATGTAGGAATTAGGGTTGTGTATAAAAAAAAAAAAAAGCTATAATTGCGATAATCCCTTGAAAAATTGATTTTTGTACTTAAAATCCTATTCTTGGAGCACATCATGGGACACAGAGCAAGCTTAATAATCATGACCATCTGAGTTATGTGCCACCTTCAGGTGTATAGACACTGGCAAATACAGGAAGTCCTTCTCTATATAAAACCACACACCCTGGCGAAGCCTAATTTTTCTAGCAATCAATATTACTCAAGGGGAGGGACCTGTGTCCCAGTGCTGTACTCCAAGAAACAGATTTCACAAGTACAAAAATCCAGTTTTCTTTCGCTTACATCACAGGCTTAATAATCATGAACACCTGGTGTGTGCAAAAGCACTGCTCCAAACGGGAGGGAATCTTAGCCACCTCTGCCAGGCCCAAAGCTACACCACAGCCCTCAAGACACTGACCAAACGCAGCATCTTCTGTGGCAGTTACATAAATCTTATAAGCTTGAAAAAGGTGTGAATAAATGACCAGGTAGTAGACGTGTGAAGCTCGTTTCATTCCAAACTGAAATGCAGACAAAATTTTCTTTATTTGGAGATTTGGATGTAAGATCATAGGAATATAGCCGTCTTCCAAAATTCGAATTTCAAAAATAGAATAAAAACAGACTAGCGTAAAAAAACAGAATAGAATAAAAAAATAAAATGGAATAAAATAGAAAAAGGAATAGAGCAGAAATGCATAGAAAAAAAATAGAATAGATCAGAAAGAACAGTCTTTCGAAATTCGAATATAATAGAACCAGCTATTGTTCACAATGAATTTGGATTGATTCGATATTTTTGATTTGAATACTTCAAAATCCATTGGGGAAAATTTGAATCCGGTCAAAAATGAAATCCATAACTTAATAAACCGATCCTAAAAAAAGGTTTTCGTTCTGCTCATGTCTACCAGGTAGCAACCTTGCACATATGTCCCACTGAGGCCAGATGAACCTCCTACACTCCTTTTGACACTGGCGAAAAAAACTGAGGCATCCCTAGTAGGTGGGGTTATATAGAAGAGGACTTCCTGTCTTTGATTGCCAGTGTTCATTCACCAGAAGGTGCCCCTTAACCCAGACGGTCAGGATTATTAAGCCTGCTCTGTGTTCAGTAATGTATGAAAAATAATTATTTTAACTATGCTAGTTTGTCTAATCCTGCTGCCGTAGCAACCATCACTTCTCCAAGAATGACAGGATACTGAGCCAAGTCATTGTTCATAATTTATTTAGTACTCATGTCATCTATCAGTGTTCTTAACCCTGCCAAGTTCTTTTCTGTGGACTACAAAAAAAAACAAAAAAAAAAAAAAACACATAACTTTCCCCCTATGTTATGGAAATTAGGAGAGGTGTTCTGTAGTTCTAATCCTGCCTGTGGGTGCACAAAATTGCTTCTCCACAGATACAGTTCGATCAGTTGTCATGTCATCCAACTGGTAAACTGCAAATATTTAATTTTGTCTTGGGTTTAGATATACCACAAGTACAAGTAGCTGCTGTATAAAAGCTATATATAAAAAAAATGTCCTAAACCTCTGAACCTCTGCGTTTTTAACATGCTCCACAGTACTTCTAAATAAATGTCCCAATGCTTTTTGAAGCAAAAATATTTTTTATTCGAATAGAATGATGAAATCCAGGAGGGCAGTCACTATCATTAAAAATGAAAATTACAAGGAGAAAAAAAAAATCATATGTAAGATAAAGGTAGAGTTGGGAAATCCTAAAGTTTTATAAACAATTTTACACAACTGGTTTCCCCTGAGCACTTCTTGACCGATTCATTGTCAAACACTTCTAAATGGACACAAATTATTATTACAGAGGTGAAAAGAAGCACACAATGTCAGCGTATTGAGATTTTCAGACTATATGCATGGCTTTACTTAAATCATCCCACATACTATTTATTCAGCATTATGCCCTTTAGTTGTATCATTAATACAGGCAGTGAAAGCTGTATTAAAAATATTAGAAACGGCTTATATTCATAAGCAATACTGAATAAAACAGTATTTCTAATTCCCCTGAACTTACTGCCGGGAAGCTAGTATGTCAGGCTTGAAACCTATCGCATGGATCAGCTTATCTCTACATAGGAGAGTTTGACTCATACAGTAGTAAAAGATGGCCAAATTGTTAGACTTTGATAACAAAATATTCTTCATAATGTGACAGCCTACATAAACACAAGCAAATCAGGTATTTGCTAGCACAAGGTAGTCCGTACACGTAAAGGAGGATTGTACAAACCAGCTTATACCTGTGTGGCACACTTGTTGTAGACTGACAGACTGGTTGGTCCTTTGCCTTTTTACAAACATTGACCAAAATGGCAATGGGCTACACTTTTGTTCAGCATTACTCAGCAAGAGCAAGTTTTTGTTTCTTTTACTTCTAGACAGCCATGCTTTACTGCTGCATTTCAATGTTCCAATGAAATATTTTGTTTTACCCAAGATGCCGCTTCAATTGTGTACTGCTGCTTTAAGACTAGACAACTTTTAGTTTGTAGCACTTTTACATTCTGAAATAAAGAACATATTGAGTAGGGTGCTAACAGGCCAGAAGATATATATTAATTAAAAAAATGAAATAAATATAAAATATTCAACACGAACAGAGCCAAGTGCAGCTCATTCTAGAAAACGAAAGTCAGGGAAAAAAAGTCAAGCTTCGGTGGTGGAGGGTGACATAGATTGCGGTTTGGAAGGAGAACTGACTGCTGGGGCTTCCTCTTCCTCTTTAATTTCTGGTATGGCAACAGGTTCAGCAGGCAGGGGAGAAGGTGGGGGAGATGATGGAGGAGATGATGGAGCAGGAACATTGGCTGTTGCAGACCTGGGGTAGTCAATCTCACCTTCCTCAATTTCATGTTCCTGGTCAGATTCTGTAGTAAATGCCACTGTGTCCTCTCTCCTGCTTTTCTTGGAGCGCTCTTCACTGACACTTCTCTCCCTGCTACGTTTCCGAGCTCTCTCTTGGCTAATACTACGGCTTGATCGCCTACCATTCTTTCTACTTTCATTGCTATGGCTCCTTTCTGAGCTGCAAGATTCCCTCCTTTTCCGGCTATCTCTGTCTCTGCTGGTACTCCTCTCTCTACTATGACTTCTATCTCTTCTTTCCTTGCTCCGTCTGCTATTCTTCTCTTTCCTGTCTTTGCTTCTGCTTCTGCTCCTGCTCCTATCTCTCCTATGTCTACTGCCACTTCTGTCCCTATCCTTTCTCAGACTTCCATCACTATCACGTCTTTCCCTGCTCAAGCTTCTGTCTCTCTCACTGTGCGCTGGGTCTGGACTTCTCTCTTTACTGCTGCTATGATCTCTCTGCTTGCTACCATTTTTCTCTTTACTCCTGCTATCCCTGCTGTCTTTGCTGTAACTCCTGCTTCTCCTACTGTGCCTTCTGCTCCTGCTGCGTGATCGAGACCTGAAAAAATAAAAATAAATAATAATGAACAAATAGAAAAACAGGCTTTTTTTACTATATATCATTAAAAAGAACATAAGAATGACTTGCAGAAACAGCAAGCCTAAATAAAAAAACACACTAACCTTGATCTAGAAGGGCTACTCCTACGTGAGCGTGACCTAAAGTAATGAATAGAAAAGAGTTAATAACCTCTGTAGAATAGAAACCTCCTGGAAAGATCTCACTTTGTTGTGTATCCCCCCCACCAAACATCCCCTGGTAGGATTGTGGGGTGAATAAAATGGGCTGCCACAGGATATCATTAACAGAGCCCAACAATGCACACCCTTTAGGCCAAACTGCTCCATTCATGGAAGCTGTACTACAGCTTCTATGAATGAAAACAAGATCTGTAAATGGCAGGGCAGAGATATAAATCATCCGTCTGTCCTCTGTTCTTAGTCTAGTAAATCCTGTAGCAGCCTCTAAATCTAGTAACCTCCCAATATCGCAGTAGGGTTGATTACCCGTCACCCTGCCTATAATGCCATTCAGTAGTATCTATACTCTTTTGCTGTCAGAGCCCTTTTTCCCCTTAAGTTTTTGAACACGTGATAAAATGCACATTTTAGGCCTGAGGATTACTTAAAACCCCCAAAACATTTTCTAAAAGCAGAGACCCTGGAAAATACAATGTTGGTAGTTGTAATTTTTTTAAGTCACCCAATGACAGTGTAACTATAGCAAAATACAGTAATACCTCAGTTTACAAATTGAATTAGTTCTGCAGGACTTTTCATATAGCGAAACATTTGTAAACCGAAACACTGTTTCCCATAGGAATGCATTAAAAACAAATCTGTTTCCGAAGGTCATAAAAACAGTAAACGCTACTAAAATATTGCATGAGTTATTTGATTAACTCATGCGGCATTTTAGTAGTGACAACCATGTGTTAATGTTTCAGCTGTCAGCGGGGTTCCCCAATGACAGCTGAATGTAAAATACTTGCCGACAATTAAAAAAATTACTAAAAAAAAAGGTGTGGGGTTCCCATTCCCATCCATACCAAGCACTTCGGGTCTGGTATGGATTTTAAGGGGAACTCCCACACCAAAATCCATACTAGACCCTTATCTGAGGGTACCATCCTCATTCTGGGGCCCCTTGTTAAAGGGTGCTTCCAAATTCCGAGAAGCCCCCTGCCCGCAGACCCCCACATCCACCGGCCAGGGTTGTGAGGAAGAGGCCCACGCTGCATGCTCAGATAAGGGTCTGGTATGGATTTGGGGGGGGGGGGAATGTGGGATGACCCCCATTTTTTTTTTTTGGCTTGGGAGTTCCCCTTAAAATACATACCAGACCCGAAGGGCTTGGCATGGATGGAGGGGGGACCCCACGCAGTTTTTCTTTATAATTTTTTTTTTAATTGCCAGCAAATTCTTTTACACTCAACTGTCTGGTGCCAGTTTTCAAATGTAATTACTGCTTATTTTTTTCTTCACTATACAGTAGTTTAGAAATTCAGCTGTCACTTTCCCCCTCCAGCTAAAAAAGAGAAAGTTTTTTATTTTTTTTCCCCAAGTTAAAAGAAACAATGTTTCCTTTCAGTTTCTTAAAAGATACAAAAGTTTCCTGTAACTCCAGGGAAAGTGACAGCTAATGTCTTGAGCTATAGTGAAGAAAAAAAAAAAAAAAAAAAAGACGGCAATTGCATTTAAAAAACAGCACTGACATGCACTTCGTATTGCAAAAAAAAATTTGTAAACCATGGCATTATTTTCAATGGATTTTCATTCGTAAACCGAAAATTACATTAACTGAGGCATTCGTAAACCAAAGTATTACTGTATAGGCTAATTAAGGGTATATATATATATATACACACACTCAAAATATATAATATATATACCCAATTTGTTGCTAAATAACGACAAAGACAAGGTTGCTTTGAGTAAATACCAAAACACATCAAGCATCCTAGAATGATTTTTCTCACTCCGGTGTGGGTGTGTGGGGCATATGGGTAGATAAACTACAAAATCTGCCTCCTCCAATTACAGAACACTTTGCATTCTGGGAAAGAATACCATGAGTTCCTTGAAGAGCAGCACAACTTCACACTTGCAAAAGCTGATTTTACCCCAGCAGGGCTAGAAGATCAGTACTGTAGGGAGGACCTGGTGACAGTGGGCAGAATATTTCTAAGTAATCCAGCAAAAATAAAAATAAATATTTTTTTTTTCAGATTTAAAATTCTCTCTCTACTGAGGTCTGCTGTTCAAAGCATCGACTATTTTATTTTGGTAATACTTCATAGATTTAGTTTTTAACTTTCCTCCTGTTCATCTGAGATCACGTCCCATTGTTCTGATCTTCATATTGAAGATGCTGCACTCCTGAACACCCCATTTCTTTTGTCTGTTGTCATAACCCGGCACCAAAATCTTGCCGAGTGAGATTATAAAGTAATCTTATACATTTTAAGAAGCATTTAAATGCATATCAAAGCCTCAGGACAAAAACGTCAACTAATGCAGCTGCCATATCTGTGGACTAGTAAATTGCAATATAGTTCTTTTCAGATGAAGTACAATTTTCCACAAGCCCAAATAATGGCCTTTTCATCCTACCAGGAACCTAGTGCCTTTGTAATTTCCTGTGCACTGATGTGTCTATGTTACCTTTTCCAGCGTTCTTCTCTAAACTACAGAACACCTTGTTCCTATGATAGGTGGTGAGGATGGGAGAAAAGTTATTTCAAACTAGGAATGTAGCCTAAGGAGACACCACTTCTCCACAGAAACAGTAGGATTTATTTACTAAAGCTGGAGAGTGCAAAGTCAGGCTCACTACTGCATAGAAACCCATCAGCTTCCAGGTTTTATTGCCAAAGCTTAACTGAACAAGCTGAAATTAAAAGTGGATTTGTTTCTATGCAGAAATGAGCCTATTTTACACTCTCCAGCTTTAGTAAATAAACCCCAGTGAGTGTTGCCCCCGGAAGTACGCAACTAGCAGGATCGCTGGATGAAAGAGAAAAACCTGAGTGTAAAAATAAATGCAGACACACCGAACTATACAACATGTTTACTTCAGTTTACATACACATTAAAGTGTCTGTAAAGGAGATATATATATATATATATATATATATATATATATACACATACACACACACACACACACACACACACACACACACACACACACACACACGTCTATACTTACCTGCTCTGTGCAATAGAATTGCAGAGTGGCCCCGATCCTCCTCTTCTTGGGTCCTCCAGCCAGCACCCCTGGCTCCTCCCCTTTCAGTGCCCCCCAATAGGAAGCCAATTTCCATGGCAGCACTCGTGCGGGCTCACTCCCAAGTCCTGCTGCTGCGTCCAATTGACACCCGCTCCCTTGTCACTTCAGTTGATTGGCAGGAGCAGAAGCCAATGGCTCCTGCTGCTATCAATCTGCCCAGTGAGGAGACACAGCCAGGAGAGCCGTAGCTCTCATGCACAGCGATGGATCGCGATGTGGCGCAAGGGGAGGGTGCGAATAGAATTTAAGGTACAAAACCTTAAGGCTTTAGAACCACTTTAAGTGAAAAGCAGGACAGTAAACATGGGGTACCAGAAAACATACCTGGAGCGACTGCGTGAAGAAGAATATCTGGATCCAGCCCTATCCTCCACCAAACGTATTCTCCTCCCATTAACCTGCGAACCATCCAGTTTATCTAGCGCCCGCTTCATGTCCGAATATGTACGGAACTCAATGATTCCTTCATTAGGACGACGCTGATGTGCATCTGCGTAAGTAACTTCTCCAGCCTGGCGCATGAAATCCTACAGTAAAAGAAAAACTGTATGAAGCTGAGGTGTCTAAATGCAAACGTGTAAGCAAAAAAAAAAAGAAAAAGCACATCAAACTCTGATGGTACAGGTGCTGCACATAAAAATAAAAATTTTGTCTACATTATTTCAGTTCTCTCTGTATTATCACCTACCTTAAGGTCCTGCCAACTGCATCGGGTGGAAAGGTTTTCTACCCTCAGTCGGTAGATTGTTCGAACTGGAGGGCCAAACTTCTCACTTCCACTTTTGCGGTATCCATAACCACCTGGATCCAGAAACAAAATAACTCAGGGAATGCCCAAAAGCATTTATTAAAACATAGTACACGATGTACACAGTCTAGGGCTATAATTTTTTACATGGAAAAAAAAAATTCCAGGAGCAGAAAATAATATTCCAGGAGTTAAAAAACCCAGCTATCCACCCATCTAGTAGAGAATAACTCCCATAACCCTAACTACATTACAGTCATTACATTTTCAAAACCGATACAATTACTGTAAATATATATATATTCCTAAAAAGCAACCCAGTTTAAATCTGTCTATAAGTAACCCCATGCTCCCCACCAATCACTTACCTTGAAACAAATGGAGAGCCCTCAGCCACCCACGCTCCCTCTGCATGCCCTGCGTCGGACGGCTGCCTTGGGCCCCCCGCTGACAGGTAAACCCAACGCGCTCACCCACGTATGTGCCCCCCCCGCGGCTCCTCCTCGGATCTCACAAGAAGAAGAGAGAGGAGGAGGAAGGGATAGGCTGCACAATGAAATTACCTGGAGACAGACATCTTGTCGGCCTCACACTAACTTATGCATTATCACCCCATAGCAGTTTAATAAAATGGCCAGTGAATGACTAACTCAGGTTTCTAGAGTATTCAGAGCCATTTTAAAAAGTATAGGGGATAAAATATAACAACAATAATGATGATTAAAAAAAAAAAAAACTAAAACATTTAAGGACAGGCAAATATCAAGTTAAAATTAACCTACTTTAATAAAGCGGTTTAATTTGTAATGTGTGTGGTATTGAAATAATAACCAGTCTGGCCGGCAGCATCAACACAAACAAGAACATTTTTCAATCTAAGAGGAAGAAATAGCTAGATGCAGCACTGGTATAAAATATCTCTTAAACATGTAATTATTTGAATGTTATTTAGCCGATTCACTGAATTGAAAAAAAAAAATAAAAATGATAAACTCTAGGTGTAATCTTTTTTTTTTTTAGTTAGACAATAATGGGAGATGCTATGGCTAATCTCTTTAAAAAAAAGATGAGCTGCTTAGCCATCTCTAGATTCCATGCTTTTTCAGTGTTACTGATTCTTGCAGATTAGCATTTTCAGAAAAGTGGGTCAACAATATCAGCCACCATTTTACCTCAGTATAGTTGTTTTGGTAACCCACTCTGTTCTGAAAAAGTTGCCCCAGAGTTGCGTTTGAACAATTGTGCACATACAGCAAGACACTGCATGCTGAATGTAAAGTAGTGCTATGCCTTCACATATGCAGCTGTAAAAGCTCATTAAGGTAAAACTCCATCTTAAAAGAAAAAAACCAAAACAACTAACAACTCAAGCTATGTAATGTAATATTATTAAAAGAGTAGGTTCAAAAATCTTAAGACAGCTTTTCATTTTTTGCTGGTTGCCTTGGCTCTAAGCATCTGACCAGCGCTGTCTAGCACCAGTATTGAATACGCTGTGTAAAATAAATTAAACAGCTTAAAGTGGAAGAAAAGTCTAACTATTCTTAAAATGTTCCATCACCCTCCTCCTTATAAAAATGCGTGTGCGCTTACCTATTTTTAATCTATTCCGGTAACGTGATCTTACAGCTCCAGCTCAGGGAGTGCTCTACAACGGCTGGGAATTCTGGGAGCCCTCATGTCATCCATAGCCCAGCCAGTCAGTACTCCCTTGCAGCTCACTGACAGGGGAGCCCAAGCTGCGGGATAACAGGACCAGACCATAGTGGATTAAAAACAGATAGGTATACAAATCTTTTTTTATACAGGTTAGGCAGGATAGGTCAGAGAAGGGGGAGAGAACACTTAAGAATAGTGTCAAGCTTTTTTTCCCCCCACTTTCAAGTGAGAAAAAAAAAAAAAAAAAAACTAAAAACTGCTTTATAGTGCTGCAAATGATTTTCCTGAAAGCAGCACTCTTGTCCACACCGAAAAGCACCCTAAATCTATAGATTAACAGACATATAGTTGATTTTTTTTTTTTTACAATTTGGACCACACGATTTTGTCTTCGTTTAGACCATAAAAAAAAAAAAAAAAAAGTGACCCGATTGGGAAAAAAATGTCAATGACGTCCTGCAGAGCAAGAAGCTTTATCTGTACCTGGTCCAGCATCTATTAGTGAAATCTGCTGCAGTGTTTTGCTGCCCCAAAATGAATGGGCTCAAATAGCACTGCAAAAAAATAAATAAATATCGCATGCGATTTCAACAGGAATACAGTGCAATTCCTGTCAAAATGGCATGCAGTTTCCCTCACTGCTCCTGTGTGATCCCAATATAGAAAGACAGGGAAACACCATCTAAGAGGTGCAGCAATAGGCAAATAATTAATGATATAACAACTCACATGTTAAAAGTACACAACATATCTTGCATGACAAAACCACAGCCGCTTGCGGTGCTCACAGGGCTGGAGGAGATGTAGAAAGTACCGGGACCCCTGTGGGGATAACCACCTATACATCTCCAACCCTGTGAACACCACAAGCAGCCGTGGTTTTGAATTTGACATGCAAGATGTATTGTGTACTTTTAACATGTGAGCTGTTATCGCATTAATAAACTGTTTGCCCATTGCTGCACTTCTTAGATAACGCTTCCCTTTCTTTCTATACTGAAATCACACAGGAGCTGTGGGGGAAGCCACATGCGATTTGGACAAGAATCGAACTGCATTCCTGTTCAAATCGCATGTGATTATTTGCAGTGCGATTTAAGCCCATTCATTTTGAAAATGTTATCAGTTGCAGGAACATTTGCACAAGTACTTGTGCAAGTACTTGGTATTAGTGCAACCCTAGAAGTTACAGTTTTAGACAATACAAAAAGTGGTCCATGCTTGAATTAACTAAGTTTCAGAAATATAACGAGCATGTATGCAACTGAATGGGCTGTCTCATGACTAACTGCTCAGAACCGTAAGGGGTGCAATGTAGATTTTAGTCTGTAGTTTAGCAATATCACATCTGTTATAGGTAAAGTGTTGTTGTATGTGGATGACAGGTCCAACTGAACCAATATTTTTTGCTCATCCAATAGCACAATTGAGGAGAAAAGAAAAGCACAAAAGTACATATGCTAAACTTACTGCGCGCTTCCCTCCTTGGAGCACGTGCATGTTCCACAATGACTCGTTCACCACATAGGTCTCTTCCATTCATCTCATAAACAGCATCTTCAGCATCACGCATATCTTCAAACTCCACAAAGCCATACCTGAAAAACATACAGGCAATTACTGAAGTGTATCTAAACCCAAGAAAAAGCAGTGTTGCAGCCTGCATGTCCTTAGATATGGCGACGCATTAGTTTATTTTTTTCACACTTACTCTCCTAGGATCACAACTGTACTGAACAAGATTGTTGCCCTATATACGTGATTATGCATTTCTGGGTAGGGGGTGCACGCGAGACACTCCCTACCCGCGCCGCCAATCACTGGGCCCCGGACGGTAATTACTCGCTGGCGCCCAGTGATTTCTAAGGATCTCCGACGGAGGGGAGGACTGTTTTGTTTTACTAACAGTCCTCCTCCCTGTCAGCCTGGACACACTGCTGTGGATGGCTGTCCAGCGCTGCCCCCTGGACCGCCATGATAGATCCGCCTCTGAGCAGGGTGGTCGTCACGGCAATGTGACATCACATGTGCGCCCCGTCCCTTTCACTGACTCTCCAGGTCTAGGGCCATCCTGTGCCGCATTGGCAGGTCTGAGACTGGTACCTGCTGGGAGGCTGGGGCTGTCCTCTCCCACCCCCCAAGCCACACTGTGCCCCCGTCCCCACATGTAGTGGTGAACGCATACATAGGCCACACCCACATATGTAAACGGTGTTTAAACCACACGAGGTATCGCCACAAACGTCAGAGCAAGAGCAATGATGCTAGCACTAGACCTCCTCTGTAACTTTACGCTGGTACTCTAGAAATTTTTAAAGAGTCACGAATGGAGATTATTTAAGTACTGTTGTTTGACGCTATTCCACGTGCATGCACAATTTTAAAGCATGACATGTCAGATATCTACTCGCCATATCATCTTTAATATTTTTTTTTTTTTTAATTCGGGTATATATTATGTTTATTTTAAACCTAAAAGTGTATTTTTTCCCTCAAAAATATATATTAATTTTTAAAAACCATCCATTTCAGTTTTGGTTTTTGGCCAAGTGCATCCTGAATTTTTGGTTTCGGCAGCAGAATTTTATTTCGTTGCACCACTAGATAATTGTTAGGCACCTGGAGAGAGAGATGGAACAGAGTGAAAATAAACCTTATTAGGTGATCAGAGAGGAAAAGGATTGTGAGGTTGCACGGAGTGCATAGATAGGAGAACACAAAGTCAAGGGTGTGTCCATCGGAGTGAGTAGAAGCCTGTATCCATTGCTTCAGGTTAAATGAGGTTAGACTAAGAAGTTTAGAAGTAGCAAGAGTTTTAGTACGAACAGGGGTTTTGATATCGCAATGCTGCAAATGATAGTGGGAACTTCAGGAGAGAGAAAACAGGGTAGTCATGAAGGAAAGTTGATATCAGTCCGGGGAAAGGGGGGGGGGGTTAAATCACAGCAACAATTAAAGAAATTGGAGAAAGCAGAGCTATACAGTGAGCTTCAAATGATGAGAGCAACACAGAGGAAACCTGAAAGGTGCTGTGTGGGGATAGGAGGATTCCCACTCCACCTTCCTTGTGTCCACTGGGTCTGGGGGAGCGAGTCCAAAGAAGGCCACAATGGGGGAGGGAAGCAGTGTCCAATTCATGAAGCCAGGTTTCGGTGACAGCAAGTGGATGAAAAGAATTTGCGACAAAGAGGTCAAGAACAGAGGCGAGTTTGATGCAGAGAGGAAAACGGGGAAGCTGGTTTTGGGAAGAAGAGGAATGGAAATATGAGGGGACATGTCTCAGCATCCCGGGATTTTATTAGCATGTGGGATTAGAATTAGGACAAGATGATGAGTGCAGTAATAAGTAGAGGACCAAGGGCCAAGACCCGGTGAGTGACATCCACTGCATCCAATAGCAGTGCGAGTAGGTGATTTTGCACAGTGCGGCCGCCCTGTAGCAGTATATCTGCTATAGAGCGGTAGGCAAGTGGTTAGTTTATTTGGACCAAGCTGGAACAAATTATTTATTTCACTAAGTGCAGCACTGGCTCTAAGCACTGTATGTAGCATACAGTACCTAGTGCTGGGTTCCGGCTGTGAGACAGACTTCCCGTCTCACACCTGGAACAATGCAGAGTCGGTCTAAGCAGCACTCAGAGGAATCATTGTATTTGTTCACCGAACAATGCAGAGTCGGTTTAAGCAGCACTCAGAGGAATCATTGTATTTGTTCACCGGCTCTTGTGTTCCAGGTGTGAGGGGGGAAGGATCGGTCTCACAGCCAGGACCCAGCACTGTGTACTGTATGTAGGCAAAGCTACATGCAGTGCTTAGAGCTAGCACAGCACTTAGTAAAGAAAATAGTTTGGACCAGCTTGGTCTAAACAAATATTTAACCAGTTCAACTCTTTGGATGTACTATGTTTGTCCAAAGAATGAACCTCTAATTAGAATGCATTGATATATATATCGGTGGCCGAAAATAGCATTATTGGCATTTTGCTGATAGGAAAAAAGTGCAGATAATGGTCACCGAAAACTAGCGATTTTACCACGTTTAGGGTGCGTTTTTCATAGGTCATGTTACTTAAAAAAAAAAAAAAAAAAATGCATCAAAACGCAACACGTGGGTTTTCAATGCATTTTCAGGCCTGGTTCATACCAATGCAGTTTGTGTTTTGCAGTGTGTTTTTGCATGCATTTTTGTGGCCAACTTATTGCTGGACATATTAAAAATGCATAATGTGCGTTTTCAATGCATTTCAGGTCTGGTTCACACCAAAGCAATTTGCATTTTGCCTGTTTTGAAGTGCATTTTTGCTGCTTTATTTTTTTATTGGCCAACTTGTTGCTGGGCAGATTAGAAACTTAATTTTGATGCGCTTTCAATGAATTTCAGGCCTGGTTCACACCAATGAAGTTCGCGTTTTGTCTGTTGTGTGCACACGTTTTTGATGTGTTTTGCCTTTTTTTAAAAAAAATTTTTGTCCAACTTTTTGTCGGGCAATTTAAAAAAACAAAAATGCATCAAAAACCGCGGTAAATGCATGAAAACACGCTACATGCATCTCCATTGAAGTCTATTGAAGCAAAAACGCAAGGTTTTGCGCTTAAAAAAGTCCCCTGACCCTTTCCAAGACTGCATAGATGTGAACGTGTTCTACAGGAAACCATGTTAAATGGACTGTAGTGCATTTCTGCAAAAAGCCCTAAAAAATACATAGATGTGAACTACGCCTCAATGGGGAGGTGCACATTTTTTTTTAGTTGCCAAATATGCACCAAAAATGCAGCAAGCAGGGAAGCGCAACGGACCAGTGTGAAGACATACACTGAATATTAGGGGTGGCTGAAACTTTTTGGCCGAAATAAAAAAAAAAAAAAAAAAGCACCAATACAGGTGCCAATTAAACCCCGCCCCTCAGTAGTTCCCAGCTTTCCCGAGAAACCATCAATCCCAGCGCTGGGCATAGAGATGAGTGAAGGAAAGATGGCCGCCACTCATCTCTGCCCTTGGAGGACCAGAGCTATGTCGCTTCCCGTTCCGGCCATTTTTTTTTTTTTTTTTTAAAAAGCACTAGTTCAATGCATTTTTTTGATCCAATGCTTTACATTGGAGAGATGCAGGGTTTTATTGACCCCATATCTCTTCATAAAGAGGACCTGTCACTAATTATTTCTATCACAAGGGATGAATGCATTTCTTGTGATAAGAGTAAAAGTGATTAAATTTTTTTTAAAGGGACAGTGCAAAAAAAAAAAAAAAAACATTTTTTTTCAAAGTGCCTCCGTCCCCCCGTGCTCGCACGTAGTGGTGAACGCATAGGACATGCCCACATATGTAAACCACACACGAGGTATCGCCACGAACGTCAGAGCAAGAGCAATAATGTTCGCACTAGACCTCCTCTGTTACTTTACACTGCTAACCTGTAGAAATGTTTAAATCATCACCCATGGAGATTTTTAAGTACCCCAGTTTCATGCCATTCCACAAGCATGTGCAATTTTAAAGCGTGACATGTTGGGTATCTATTTACTTGCCGTAACATCCTCTTTCATATTTTATAAAAAAATTGGGGTATATATATTTTTTTTGGTTTTTTTTTAATCAGTGTATATTTTTCCAAAAAATATATATTCCTTTTTAAAAACTGCACATTTCGGTTTTCGGCCAAGTCCATTTTGAATTGTTTTCAGCACCAGAATTTTCATTTCGGTGCACTACAATTGAATATAAAGGGATGCATTTTTCTTTAGCCTTTTTTTTTTTTTTTAGTTTTAAATGTAAAAGCGCTGCAAAAACTGCTCAGTGTGAAAGCAGCCTACTGGTTGAAAGGAGCTGAAAATAAATTAATATTCATATTAATTAAAAAGTTGAATACAATTAAATATTAAAATGCATATATATTTTTTAAAAAAAACTGTCCATTTTGGTTTTCAGCCAAATGCATCCTGAATTTTTGGTCCAAGAATTTTAATTTCGGTGCACCACTACCTTTAATCACAAGCTGATGGCTGTAGAAGCAGCCATCAGCTTGTGTGTTTAACGTTCAGCCGGCTTGAAAGTGATGCGGCAGCTCCATAATTGCCAATCACTTTCACAGAGCTGGCAGCATGGTGATTCCCCCCTCATGGTCTCCATAAAGAGAACCTGTCACCTGCTGCTATCACAAATGGGTTTATTAACCCCATGTGATAGTCAAGTAAAAATAAAGAAGTGTTAAAAATGAAAATATATATTTAAAAATATGCCGTAATCCCCCCCCCCCCCCCCCCCCCCGTTGCCCTGCATACCTGTGCAACCGCAAGTCCATGGTGTGCACACATATGTAAACCACGGCTGCACCACACGTGTGACATATCACCACAAACATCAGCGTGAGAACAATAATTCTACCACAAGAGCTCCTAGTTAACTCTAAACAGATGAGCTGTAAACACTTTTAGAGTCACCTATGGTGATTTTTGGGCACTGTAGTTTTCAAAGTGATTTCACAGCAAAATAAAAATGGAGACAAAAATGGATGGGGGAGTATGCTTTGAATATTAAAAATGAATTAAATTGCGGTTTTGATTATGGTGCTCGGATGCAGTGTAGTTCCACTGTAAGTATGGGAACGACCAGTGCAAGTGTGAGAAGGGTGTATTTATTTATTTCAGGTACTTATATAGCGCCGTCAGTTTATGCAGCACTTTACATATATATTGTACATTCACATCAGTCAATAACCCTCAAGGGGTGTACAATCTAAGGTCCCTCACATTCATACATACACATATTAGGGTCAATTTTAGACAGGATCCAATTCACCTACCAGCATGTCTTTGGAGAGTGTGAGGAAACTGGAGTACCCAGAGGAAACCCACACAGGCACAGGGAGAACATGCAAACTCCAGGCAGGTGGTGCCGTGGTGGGATTTGAACCAACGACTCTAGTACTGCCAGGCGGAAGTGCTAAGCATTTAGTGTAGAAGATTGGGCGAGACCTAAGATCAGAGTCAAAGGGTGACCATAGCAGTTGTAAAGGAACGGGGTCTAGGGGGCAGGTGGTGAGGTAGGCCTCAGAAGTTTAGCGACTTTCTCCCTGGTTACAAGGCCAAAAGAGGAAAGTCTTGGGGGCGATAATTGGCAGGACCGTACGTCTGCAGAAGCGTCACAACAATGTTTAGATGTTGCAAAAAGCTTGCCATATTTCATAAGTTCCCGCAAAGCACATGAATGTCGCCGTAGAGCGAGGGCGATTGCACACGGCAATTAAAAACTAAAGTTTTAACCCTGCATGGTTGCAAAAAAAAAAAAAAAAGTTTTGCCTTTAGATCTAAAGAGCGTCACAAAAAGTAATCCCATTCACTGGTTGGAACAAAGCAAGGCACCGGCCTGACTGCACACAGTAACCATCTCAGGCTGAGGAGGGGGCACGGTGAGCCAGAACCCACACAAAGCTCTCCTCTTCGGGTCGGCCATTGCAGGACGATGTGCGGCTCTTCTAAAAGCCCGCCCCGCTCCAACACCCCGCGCACCGCTTCCTAAAGCTCGGACAACTTAGTCGGGAAGCTCGGAGACGGCCATCGGAGCACTACCCATCGATCGGAACTCACCCGTTCTTCAAATCCACCTCTACGATCTTCCCAAAGCCCTTGAAGAAACGCTCCACGTCCCTCTCCCGGGCCCGATGGCTGAGGCGCCCGATATAGACCCGCGGTAAGGTCGATAGGCGCGACATGGAGTCGGCAGGCTGGCGGTATGCTCTAGGAGAGAAGCAGAAGGAAGCTTGGTCACCGCTGTCCGCCTTACAGCCAACGTGCTACCGTCTCACCCGAACACACGCTCGGGATTCCAGCTGCAAAAGCAAGCGCGGGCTCCAGAGCGGAAGCAGAAAGCGGAGAGGAAGTGATTCTAGTGGAACGCATAGTGAGTACGGAGCACTTCCGGGGCACGTGTGCGCTCCATGTGAGGAATGTGTCCGGGGTTAGGAGAGGGAGACGCCACGAGGGTGGAGACAATTGGGATTTCATAGTTCAGTTGGTATGGACAATATGGCAGTTACATCCATTACTTGGGAAAAAGTACTGAAGTATAAGCCCTCATGTATACTTTACGTTTTGTTAGCTCTGGTAACGTTAGCTGTGTAAACGTGTGTTAAAAACGTGAGTTTTTTTAGTGTTTTTGCATTAAAGTTTTCCTTGTTTTTTCACGTTTGTGTTTTGTTTGGTCAAAATACGCCGGTTTGTCACATTTTTCAGTGTTGGGACTCGTTCACACGACTTTATTTCTAACTCTTGCCAAACGCCCCTATAGCGTTTGACAGGCGTTTGGGAAGCATTTTAAACGTTCCCCAATCGCCCTATGTGCGCTTTTGAGGCGTTTGAAGCGTTAAAACTGCATCACAAATGCCTAGAATGAAGTTAAATGGTATTAACGCTCCGCAAACGCCTGCCAGGCCTTTGAGGAGCGGCACCATAGGCTTCAACTCCTCCTGACTCTACGTGAGGCATCAGTTTTGCCGCGATGCTGACGCTTCAGTGTGAACTGCACTGTGCTGCCATGTGCAGAATTTTCATAGGCGTTTGAGAAGCGTTAAAAACGCTTCCCAAATGCCTGTCTGACGCCTGCTGACAAAGCTAGTGTGAACGTAGCCTTAGAGCGTTTTTACAGTTAAAAAACTCTAGAAACTAGTTCTGGGTTTTTATTCCAGCCAAAAAACGTTGATTACAGTCTGTGTGTGCATGGACACATAGGATAACATGCTGGGGGGGGTTACTAGGTGTAGAACAAAACATCAAAAGCAAAAAACAGCAGCTGTAAAAACATCCAATGTGCATAAGGACTTAGAATATGCTTGTTAACCTCCCTGGCGGTCTGATTATGTCAATATTTTTGAATGTCAAAGCATTAAATTTTTTTTGCATGGAAATTTGTTGTTTTATATTGTAGGCCTGTAATTCTTAGGAATAACTCACTGAAATCTGTCCAAACAAGAGTCTAGTAAACATCCCGGGTATGATAAAATTTGAAACACGAAATCATAAATTATAATATAATAAATAATCATAAAAAAAATAATAATATAATAATAATACATTTTATTTAATAATGTAATCAAAACAAAAACACTGAAATTTGAAATAGAGCGCCAAGTTCGCACATCACTGAGCTCAGTCACAGAATCGTTTTCAGTGTCTGATGACGAATTTCCCCATGAATCATTATCACTCAATTCTGCAAGTGGTTCTGATTTACTATCGCTGTTCTCTATCTGGTCTAAAACCGCTTTTGACCTAAAGGGACGCTCTTTGGACGCCATGGACTTTTCTCAGTTTCCAGGCACAAAGAACAGTAAAAATGCAGGCAGGGCACAGGACAAAGCACTCGGGATAAAACTGAGGTGAAATGGTTTGATACAGTAATGTAATCCTAAAAGATTGCAATGTATTGTGTGTTTGTCATATTTTTACTTTTTTTAATCTCCCGCTGGTTCCGCCCCCCGCGTCGCAACGCTCGTAGGGAAGGGAGCCCGGAAGACGGATGCCGGCATCGGCCGGAGGACATCAGGACAAAGTAAGGATCGGGGGTTCACAGGACAAGGACTACAGTGTAATCCCGAGTGTGGCTCGGGGTTACCGCTTTTGGTACTGTAAATTAACCCCGAGCCACACTTGGGATTACCGCTAGGAAGGATAAAGTGGTTCCAAAGCTAAAACAGATTTTAATGCAAAGCAGAACTGCAAAGGGGAGTTTACCTACCTAAAAGGGGGAGTTCTGCTTTTCTTCTTCCTCACCCCTCTGTAACATTTGGGATATTTTTTTATTTTGAGCAGGTAATTGAAGTAGAAGTTAACCCTCACAAAAAAATCTAATTTTGTCAAAAATTTAGGCCAAAATATATTTTGCTACTTGTCTTTGCCAAAAAAAAACCCAAATGCATGTAAATGAATTGATTTACGTGAAAGTTATAGCGTTTACAAATGGCGGTATACAGTATATACTGGATTTATTTTTCTTTTTAATAGTAATGGCAGCGATCAGTGACTTATAGCGGGACTGCGGCGGGAATTATGACACTGGAGGGAATTGACTTGGTGTCACTGACATCCCCAGTGACACCAATACCGTGATCAGTGCTGAAAAAAAAAAAGCACTGACACTGTACTAATGGCACTGGACAGGAAGGGATTAACATGAGGGGCGATAAAAGCGTTAACTGTGCACTGGGAGTGTTTCACTGGGGGGACGGTGTGGGTGCCTCACTGTAAGCACACTGCTCTAGATGGCTGTGCAGTGCACAGACATCCAAAGCAGTGTGCCCGAGCTGACAGGGAGAACTGTTAGTAAACAAAGCAGCCCTCCTCCCTGTTGGAGATCCTCAGTAATCACTGGGCAACCGGTAAATAACCAGCTGGGACCCAGTCATTGACAGCCGCTGCCGCCAGGGGGGCACGCACCCCCTACCCGGAAATACAAAATCACACATATATACGTGATTTTGCAGACCCCTATAGGGCAGCGGGGAAGCAGTTAACATAATTTCAGACACTTGTTTTGTGCGTATTCATGCACATATGTGCATTCCCGAATGTATTCTTAGGGCCAGTTCACATCACAAAAATGCACTCCAGATGCATTCCGGATACGTTTTTGCTTACAGTTCTCAACACACACAGTTTTGGTGCAGTTTTGAGAGACGAACTAAACTGCATATTGTGATGATTGGATTATTGGCTGCAATGCTCAACACTCTCATTAGGTGTCAGTATATTTTTACACACCTATATGGTAATGATTTTGTTGTTACTCAAAATATGTTTTTCTTTTCTGCAGTGCTTGATACTATGTTGCAAGTAGTAGTGGCTGATGTTTAACACTTCATTTACTGATATATTTGCAGCTGTAAAATGGCATCATAGTAAATTATATAGAAATAATGGAAACATTACTCAATACATTAATAGGAATAGATTTACTGATTTCATATGGTACATGTCTGTGTAAAGCACTACATTTTGAACTGTTTTATTAGGAACCTGGAAAATGATGTTTAAAAATGAAGGTGAAAAAAAATGAAGATTAAAAATTACAAACACCAAGGAAAAAATAATAAATTTCTGATGACAATGTGGTTATTATGGATCTGCATGGGGATTATGGCTGGAATATAACGGTTACACATCCCATACAAATGAAATTTCACCTTTTTAGATAAAAATATGGGTAAAATTACTTTTATATCTGGGGAATATGGGGGGAATATCATGGTAACTCTTTCGGTTAAGCAAATGCATATAATTATTTTTCTACATGGGGATTATGGGTGCATTTTTTGTAGATACACATGCCAAGGATCATATTTCATCTATTTCTGACAATATTATGGGTATAGTTAATTTTTTATATGGGGATTATGGGTGGAATGTCAAGGTTAAACATGCCTGGGAACACGTGACCCCTTTCTGATAGTAATATGAGAATAGCTTTTTTTCTAGATGGGGATTATGGGTGGATTATTGTTGATACACATGCCAAGGATCATATTTACCTGTTTCTGAAATGATTATGGGTATAGTTATTTTTGTACGTGGGGATTATGGGTGGAATATCATGATTAAACATGCCTAGGAACACATTTGACCTCTTTCTGATAATAATATAAGAATAGTTATTTTTCGACATGGGGATAAGGGTGGATGATTGCAGATACACATACCGAAGACCATATTGAACATTTTTCTCCTAAGAATATGGGTATAGTCAGGGACAGACTGACCATTCAGACTCTCGGGCAGTGCCCGAGGGCCCGGGGTCAGTAGGGGGCCCCATGAGATGCCCCTGGTACCTTTCATAGGCTTTTTTGGGAGTGGTTTGAGTGTGGCGAGGACACAGGGGTCCCATGATCCCCTATTGTCCGGTGGCCCCATGAGTTTTCAGTCCGCCCCTGGGTATAGTTATTTTCCTGTATGGGGATTATGGGTGGAATATCATAGTTAGACATGCATAGGAACACATTTGTCCCCTTTCTGATAAGAATATGAGAATAACTAATTTACTACATGGGGATTATGGGTGGAATATTGTTTTTAAAGATGCCAAGGAACACATTTGACCCCTTTCTGATAAAAATGTGAGAATAGTTATTTTTCTACATGGGGATTATGGTGTATTATTGTGGATACACATGGAAAAAACGTATTTGACCTGTTTCTGAAAAGATTATGGGCATAGTTATTTTTCTACATGGGGATTATGGGTGGAATATCATGGTTAAACATGCCTAGGAAAACATCTGACCCCTTTCTGATAAGAATATGAGAATAGTTATTTTTCTAAATGGGGATTATGGATGGATTATTGTGAATATACATGCCAAGGACCATATTTGACCTATTTCTGTAATAATAATAATAGGTATAGTTATTTTTTTTAAATGGGTAATATGGGTGTTATATCATGGTAAACATGCCTAGGAACACATTTGACCTGTTTCTGATAAGAATATGAGAATAGATATTTTTCTACATGGAGATTATGGGTGGGATATTGTTTTTTAATATGCCTAGGAACACATTTTACCCCTTTCTGAATAAAATATGAGAATAGTTATTTATCTACATAATTATGGGTATATTATTGTGGATACACATGACAAGGATCATGTTTGACCTATTTCAAAAATAATTATGGGTATAGTTATATTACACATGGGGATTAAGTGTATAATATCATGGTTAA